ATAATGTGGTTCAAATTCGCCTTTGGTAATAATTAAACTTAAGACCTCTCACTTTCAAGTAAACTCTTCCAGGTTTTAACCGAAAAAAATCTCTCCAAAATCTAAACCTTTATTTTTTAGGAAAAAAAAAAGAAAAAGAAAAGAAAAAAAAAGGGTTTTAATTATAGTCAATGGCTTATGAAGCTGTTAGTTGTGCACAAGTCTATGACATAATCAAGGAAGAAAATATCGGTAATATCGGAAATATCGGTAGTCCGAAAACACGGAAATATCGATGGAAATATTGGGATAATATCGATATCGATAAAAATTTCATGGAAACCACGGAAATTGTAAGAAAAACTTGGAAATTTTTAATGAAACTTTGTAGGATGTTTATTTAGTCAATTATCTATTAGTTTATCACAAAAAATTGGAAGGAAATGCATTGCATGATGGATTTAACTGATTTAAGTTGATTATATAGCGAGCTGGCAAACATTGTGAGTGTAGAAAATATGTAGTAATTAATGAAAGAAGTTTAAACACACCATAATCATTTATATATAATTAATTAGTACAATATTTGGAGGTTTTATTTAGGATATTAAAAAAAAAAAGGGAAGTAAATAAAATGATGAAGAATAATATGCCGAATTTGACACTTTAAATTTCGTACACATAAGAATAAGACTAAACTTTAATTTGGATGCCGATTATGTTTTTTCATGTTTATATAAAGTAAAAGAATTGAATTTTGGAAGCCAGGAGTGTGTCAATTGAATTTTGGCCGGCGTGCAAGGTATCAATCTCTTCGTCTCGTCGAGTAGTACAACTTTCCTTTTTGTTTCACTCAATTTCGTTGAGTATTGAAAAAATTATACTCATTTGAATCTTACCCAGTTTCCGGCGACCTCAGTGGCTTTCGAGGCAATTTCCGGCCAAACCACAATTATTCCGACGTTGTGTGAGGTACCATTCTCTTCGTCTCTTCGAGGGCTACAACTTTCCTTTTTGTTTCACTCAATTTCGTTGCGTATTGAAAAAGTTATACTCATTTGAATCTTACCCAATTTCCGGTGACCTCAGTGGCTTTCGAGGCAATTTCCGGCCAAACCACGGCGAGTTGGCCGGCGTGCAAGGTATCAATCTCTTCTTCTCGTCGAGTAGTACAACTTTTCTTTTTGATTCACTCAATTTCGTTGAGTATTAAAAAAGTTATACCCATTTGAATCTTACCCAGTTTTTGGCGATCTCAGTGACTTTCGAGGCATGTTCCGGCCAAACCACGACGATTCAGACATCGTGTGAGGTACCATTCTCTTCGTCTCTTCGAGGGCTACAACTTTCATTTTTGTCTTGCTTGATTTCGTTGAGTTTTGACAAAGTTATGGCCGTTTAAAGTGGGTGTAAATTTTCGGCCGAAATTCTGATTTCTCCTATTGGGAGAGTCCCACATCGCCTATGCTTGCTCACTGCCCTCGCAATTTGTCCTATAAAACCCACATTCCCCTGCTCATTTAGCCATATCTTGTTTGCCCTTTGGGCTATGATCAAGTGAAGTATGTGTTGAGTTTTCTCAACATATTTAAGTATTTTTTAGTATATATTGATAATATCTAAATATTTTGACGAAAATCATTTGAATAGTTAAAAAAATATTGGATCTCCAAAAAAACGATATTTCGTCGATATTATCGATTTTTTTTTCCATGGACATAATTACCATGAGGTTTATGACCTAATTAATAGTGTGTGATTGACTTACTAGAACTGTTGTAGTGACTTTTTTGTGTGTAAATTTCTTTTCTTTTATTTGGCCATGTCAAAGTAGAATAATGCTTGGCTCCTCAAGGTTGAGGAGGATGCTTCATGTTTGATTTACAAAACTTCTTATTTATAGTTGAAGCCATTCAACTATAAATAACTCTGAAAATATCGTTTATTAAAAAAAAATCAATTAAGACTAAGATCATTTAGTTAATCAACTATAATAAATAAATTGACAATTCATAATGTTTTAGCCGAATTCTTCTATTTGTAAGTTGTGCACTTGTTGATTTAAAAATTTATAGGCTTCAGATTGGTTTTATCTTGCTTATGTCACCATGACATTCTAAACTATTGATGCACTAATAAGTGCACCACCTAGATGCTATGTTGAATTGTTTATGTAGGTTAGTCCTTGATGAGATTAAATTGCATGCTAGTGGTAATGATTGTGTAATGGTAAAATTAAACTAAATTAATCTTGGACCCTTAATAGTTATCTATTAATAACTCAATAAGTTGATTTATCACATGTGGACGAAAAGATAATTTCAAATCTTAGGCAACTCTAATAGTGAAAAACTATATTTTTAGCTCTCCATGAATTAAAAACAAAAGAAAAGATATTTGTTAAAAATAAAACCCTCTAGTACAATCATCATCAATACAATCCAAATTAATGGCATTGAGCGCAATAGAAGGCAAGCCATAATCCTAAATATGAGGATTCACAATCGACATCTCTCCATGATTTTGTAGTCTAAAATTCTTTGTTTTTTATTTTTTCTTGGAATTAGAAAAAGTGTTCGGAAATTTCTCAAAGGACATTGTTCATTAACTGACTGAAAAAATTTGCAATTTTGTATGTAAAGGCAAAGCACTTGAAAGGCGGGCGGCTTTATTGAAAGAAATTGTCATCAACTAACTTAAAATATTCGCAATTTTGTACGTAAAACGAGTAAAGGAGCCCCCATTCCATGTGCATCATTTACTGTCCTGACAGAGATCCTCCATTTTATATATTATAAAAGGTAAAGTAAATAGTATTAGAATTAATTTTTTAATGTAAAAATATGATTTTTCGTTAAAGTGAACAGTACCGAAAATTTTTCGTTAAAGTTTCTTATATTATAACCTTTTATTCCGTCTGAACGTGCATGGCTTCTACAACGAAAGTGTTGAGCAATGGAGGAGGATTCTCTCCCATCCTAATCTCTCTCATCTTCCCTCCCCTTCTATTTGAACGGTTACGGTTTAGCCACATCAACATCTTATATTGATTTTTTTATAAAGACAATAAGACAAAAAAATAGGGTAAATTACATAGTAGCCCCTCATGTTTGAGGTCTATTACAACCCCATACAACATTTTTAAAACATTTCACTTTTATACCTTATGTACTATGTTATTTCAAAATAATACATCCGTTACATTTTCCATCCATTGATCCATTAAGTGCTAACGTGGCTGCTATATTTGTGCCACGTGGCAAAAAAACAATTTTTTTTTAATTTAAAAAAAAAACCTTAATCTTCTAAATAAATAATAAATAAATAAAGGTTAGAAGATCCAAATCCTATCACCCCGTACCTGAACCTTGAAAGAAGAAGAAGAAGGAGAAGAAGAACCTGGAAGAAGAAGAAGAAGGAGAACAACCATAAAACTTGGAACCCCGATCCCGTCGGCGAAACCCATATCCCAGTTGTTGGAAGTGCCCGCAATCAATTAAACATCAAGATTAAAACCTCAATCCTATCTAATTGAAAAATTAACATCTGGGTTTTGTTTTACTCCAAGATTTTCACATGGGTTTTCTTTTTGTTTCCAATCTGGGATTTGTTCAGATGTGAAAATTAAAATGTGGGTTGTGATTAATCAGTGAAATTAACATCTGGGTTTTGCTAAAGCCTCGAAATTTCAATCTAAACATCGATTAATTAAATAAATAATTGGGAGAAAATGGATTTAGGGAAGAGGGGGCAATACATACAGAGTTGTGGTGCAAAGTTGAAGGATTTGTGGTGAGGATAACAGAGAGCGTGGCAATGAAGAGGAGCCCAACCCAGATCCCTTCCCCCCCCCCCCCCCGCACTCCCCTGCATGAAGCCCATCCACACCCCCTCGGGCGAACCCATATCCCATAAAACCCCCCCTCTCCCACCTCCCCCCCCAGTGGCGAAGTTCAGATCTCAACAACGCCCCCCTCCAAATCATCTTCCATCCATGGTGCACACCCATCCTCCACCTCTTCCTCTGCACCCATCTTCCTATCTTCCGCTCCCCACCTACAACCCAGAAAGAAGGAGGAAAAAAAAAACCCAGCACACCCACCCTCCGTCTTAAATCCACACTCATTGGGGAAGACAGGATCTGAGTTGCAGGGAAAGGGAGATGGGTTTTTTTTTTCTTTTTTTTTTCTGGTTTGCAGGTAGTGGGTGCGGAGGAAGAGGTGGAGGATGTTTTTTTTCTCTCTCCTCTTCTTCTTCTGGGTTGCAGGTTGGGTGGGGGGTTGCGGGGTTCAACTTTTGTTTTTATTTTTATTTTTTTTGGTTTTTTTAATTTAGAAGATTAAGGTTTTTTTTTTAAAAAAATTAAAAAATTATTTTTTTTGTCACGTGGCATACATTTGGCAACCACGTCAGTACTTAACGGATCAATGGATGGAAAATGTAACGGGTGTATTATTTTGAAATAAAATAGTACATGAGGTATGAAAGTGAAATGTTTTAAAAATATTGTATAGGATTGTAATAGATCTCAAATCTGAGGGGTTACTATGTAATTTACCCCAAAAAATAATATGACAAAAAACAATATGTGAGAAGAAAGAAGGAAAGGGGATGGGAATAGGAGGGGAAAGATCCTCCTCCTTTCATCCTTTACATTTTTTATGTTTTTTTTTTGGGTCTATTCTCTGATGATTTTTCTCAGTCGTCGTTTGTGTGTTTATTTTATTGAAATATGCCTTATAGAAAATGCTTTGGACAAATATTTATTTTAATTAAAGCATATATTTAAAAGAAAATTTTAAAGTAGTAGTATTTTTTATGTATGTGAAAGTGAATAAGCCTTGTCTCTCCAAATTTTTAATTTTTGTCCTCCTGGGAGCGTTTGTAACTTTGTGCACAAACCCAATAAGGACTACAATTTCAATTTTTTTTTTTTATGGTGAACTTTGATCTAGTTTCAGGTGCAACTGTAGTTAAGACTTAAGATTCTCTTTCTGCTATCTAATCTAAGAGATAGAGGGATGGAGTTGATTTGTTTCATGGTTAATGTCATCGGGACTCTGTTGTACATGGGCTGCATATCATTTTCTTCTTCGTCTTCTGCAACTGATTCTGCTGTAGTTGATTCTGCTGCTGTTGTTGATGATGACGATGCTAATGTTCCCTCATGTCAAGAAAAGTACCTTACTGTTTTCAAAAAAAAAAAAAAAAATACCTTACTTGCGAAAAAAATCACAAAAGAAGTATTCTCTCCCATTTTATTCTCTCTCTTTTTATCTCCTCATATTTAAACGGTTACGATTACGTCACGTTTACATCTTGTTTTAAAGTTTTATATAGAGAATAAGATAAAAAGAAAAATGTGAGAGAAAGGGGTGGAAGGGGATGGTAATAGGAGGGAAGAAAATTCTTGGAAGGGGATGATAATAGGAGGGAAGAAAATTCTACTCCCTTTTATTTTCCTACTGCCCAACCAACCCTCTCAAGTCGTGAATGAGAAGCGCTTGGGAGTAATATTTGGTCACTTATTTTTTCAAGGTAATTGGAACACGGAATGATATACTATGTGTCATTATATAAATAGTGAGATATTTATGCTAAAATTTAACAACTTAAAAAATAAAATTTTCCGTCTATTTTATAATAATACGTAATGTACTACCCGTGTTCAGGTAACAATTAAAAATTTCTCCATGTCATGAATGAGAAGCCCTCTCTCTCTCTCTCTCTTAACATTACCGTATTTATTGTCTCTCTTTCTTAACACCTTCCCACATTCAGTAAATCTCATCCCACTCTTCATTTTTTTTAACAAACAATATTATCTACACTAAGATAAGGGGTGGACTAAGTCTCACAATGAGCTAATAATAATATGGTTCAAATTTGTCTTTGACGAGAATAAAAAAAATCCTATGCATGTTAGTTTTGATTCATTTCTAAAAATCAATAATAAAGCGAAAAGCAGAAGTACTATATTGCATGTTATTTTTGATCCATTTCTAAAAATCTTATGTAGGTATAAGAAAATCATCTTTTTGGCAGTAAAGAAGAAAGAAGAGTGAAGTACTAAACAATAATGTGAAAAGTTAGGACATAGAAAACAAGATGCTTTTATGTGTATTATAACTATATGAATGGTTCCAAAACACGTATCATTTGTTCATTATTGATCATAAGAATATAAATAGATGTTGAAATAGAGGGTAAATGAAGGAAAATTTGTGAAAAACATGTTCATTTGAGCAACATCTATGGCATGCAATTATCATTTAAAGGCGGAATCATGCTTGTATGCACTCAAAAACAAAACATTACCCATGAAATTCAAAGCCTAGTAGAAGGGTGAACCAAGACTCAACTCAAAACAAAGTGAGTTGAAAAACTTTATACCTTTGAAGCACCTCTTTGCTTAGCAAAGGTTAATCACCCATGTGAGGGCCTTCTTTCCTTTGTCACCTTACTCCTTGGCTCCATGGATGTGGATGGAGGAACTTTGCTTCTTGGCTCCATGCCTTCTTGGATATGGATGGAAGAATTGGTTTCTCCAAAAGTCCCCAAAGTTGGAGACCTCTAAGTTCCGACACCAAGGATGGTTGAGGAAGAAGATGAGTAGCCATGGAAGAGTTAGATGCTAGTAAACTCTCCCATGGTGGCCGGCTATTCTAGAGAGAAAAGAGAGAGAGTTTTTCTCACTTTTCATCCTTAGAAAACCCTAATGAGGATGGAGCAAAGATACCTTTTCTATGCTTTCAACTTTTGTATGCATTTTGGACCAAAAGGCCCTTCCTCTCTCTATGGCCCATTTTTCCAAGCCTTTGGGCTGTTTTGGGCTTCTTAAATTTTATTTGTTAAGTTGTCATACAACTTAAGCTAATGGGCTTGACGATTTGAAGCCCAATTTGGGCTTTAAGGCCCAAAACTAACTCAAGGTTTAAAACGAACTTATTCGTTTGATTAATTAACATATTAATTAATTCTTGCCATAAACAATTAAACCATTTAATTGTCCTTACTCATCTCCGTCAAATCCTTCAAGCATTACCTTACACAGTGTGCGATTCATTAGGTTCCTTTTAGCGAGGCAGTGAGCGATTAAAACTCTTTCAAATCGATTGCGAATTGAAACTTACTTTCAATTATCCCTTTAGTGATTATACACTTTTAGGTCTTCCACAAACCATGAGTGACACCTAGCAGTATGTCATGGTTACCCAAGCTAATCAGAGGAGGTGGAGAACCTATTCAGTTTAGGATTACAATGCAATACGGTATTTCTCTAATATAATACTCTTGACCACATTGTTTGGTTTGATAGTTTATTCATGTCTACTATCCAATGTGATTCATTTACTTATATGATTACCTTGAATGTGATTTGGAACGACTTCCTAAATCTCATTCATACTCTGGCCAGAGATTCTTAATCATATCATAGAGTATTCTCCCTCAAACGGTTTGAAGGTTAGAGATCCCTTGTTGCGCATTCACTTGCCTCTATGGCTAAGTGGCTTAACCCCAACTATGTCGTGGACACCCTCGGATGGAGTGACTTTGACATAATCAAAGATCAAGGACCTAACCACAAGACAACTATGATGCCTCAGGTCAAATGACTACTTTGCATTATCCCAACCATAAGTTCTCATGTGACATGAGTATGAGAACTTCTTGTTGATCGCGTTCAGTGAACTCATTCTCTATTGAGCACCTACGTACTTGTCTTGGTATCAGTCACACCAATGACTCGAGACCAGTCACTCTTCCTAAGAGAAGACATAGCACGTACTGATCTTAACGGACTGTCAATGCCCAATTGGCAATCCTATGATCAGGAACATTTAGGATATGTATACGAAAGAAAATAATCTCATGAATCTAACTTCTTTAGATTGCATTCTCCCAATTACATATTCCTTGGACTTATCGTTTAAGCGTATAACATTTATATGAGACGGCTTCAAACAATAATCTTTGCCCTTTATATTAAACTATATTAGTTTAATATGTGAAATGTCCGTAAAGTATCATCATATGATTGGTTTTAGGGCACATTTCCAACAATAAATAAATTTTAACATATCCCACACATTTAACAAAGTTTTAAAACTCATAGTGTGGCGCGAGCTCAATTGCTTGTTTGTACTTAAAGCGCATAAGGCCTACTCCCATAAGTGATTTTTTGCCTACTCACAAAACAAAGGTGAATTTTCTTCAGCCTCGGCTCCAAAGCCGCCTAGGCGCGCCTTGGGACAAGTTTTTTAAAACACTGCGTACAAAAGATATTTTACACTAATCTATATACTAACCATAAGAACAATCCATCACTTGTTTTTCTCGTAATGAGACTAAACTCTAGACTCTAGTCACCGAAGCCAATTTGGGAGGTGGGCATTTTCTATCTCAAGGTTCGCTAGTTCATTTTAAAATGTTTGTTTGCTTTTATCTTTAATTGAAGAGCTGTGTATATTTGGTATGCTACTGTGACATCTTAAACTAAAATGAATGAATAAGCACGTAACCAAGGTGCTACTACAACCCACAGGGTGTGGATTAGTTGTCTTTGTCAAGACTAAATTTAATTAGATGGTCTGCTGATCAAAACTTAAACTAGTGGAAAAAAGAAGTTCAAAGAAATTTGTGCGTAAAATGCGTAAATGATGACTTGTGAGTTGTGATTAATAAAAGTTATGAATTGATGTTGATGTTCCCTTATTTTGTCTTTCTTGATATATGAGAACACATTGAATTTTTATTCGGGAAGGTAAGGTGCTTGAGCTAGGTAATTTCATATCTCTTTTTTTCTTCATATTATTAATAAAATTTTACAGAAAGGGACGGATGAGGGGTTTTTAGATGCAATGGTCCTTTTTTTTCTTTTAAAAGAGGGTTGGTGTCTTGCACACGACTGTTGACAAAGAACTAATTTTGCCAAATCTGTCTCCACAAAAAAATAAATAAAAAATCCTGATCTAGGCAACTACTCTCTCCTCCCTCACTTCCCAATTTTACCTCCCTCCTCCCTTGCTTCCCAACTTCTACCTCTATCTGTCTCTTGCTTAGTTTAGTGCCTAGATTGATAGACAGAGAGATGGTGCCCTTAACCTAACTATAAGGGCAATTCACCATTTATTTTTCTCGATTACTTTCAGGCTAAGTTTTGCACTCTTTTATGATCTCCTAATAGCCTTGAAAAAACTGATTCCAAATCGTAGGCAACTTCTAGTAGTGAATGACTGTATTCCTAGCCCTCCATGATTTTGTAGAGTTAAATTCACTAGTTTTTCTTAGAATTTTATAGAATATACTCAATTGAAAGTGTTTGAAAATTTCTCGAAAGAAATTATCACTAACTAACTAACTAAAAAAATTCAAAACCGTGTCGCGTTAACGTAGGCCCCATCCCTCACTCCCGTGTTCCAAACTTCTTTCTTAAATGGGGAAAATGTTGTAAAATCGACGGTATGTGCAGTGGAATAAACAAAACACAAAATTTACGAGGTTCCTCTACAGTTAGTGTGACTGGAGTACATCATCGAGACAGCAGTGATGCTTTTATTTATAATCTGAAGTAATAAGATTACAAGGATAACTCTCCTCTCTCTTCCCTCTCTCTCTCTGCCGTGAGCCTTGTGGCTTCTCACTTCTTCCTCTCTTCTTCCTTTTTTTTCTTCTCAGCTGTATGTCTATATATTTATATGAAAACTAGGAGCAATGAAAGCAAAGCATCGGCAACATTTAGTGGAAGGAAATTGTTCTTAGTGGAGCCTAATTTCCACACCTAACATTCCACTCAAAGGAATCATGCTTTAATGTGAGGACATGCTTTAGTGGACAACTTGGCCAGCCATCTTTACAACAGAAAAGGTTTTATTTTTCTTTTGCATTTAAGCCTCGGTATAAGCCGGAAAACTGGCATAAGATGCCAAATACATTCTTCCGACTGTTTAATCTCCGCCCTTCCTTCCTTAGCACACCCATCTCGCTCTATTATCTTTTATATTTCCTTCTCCACCTTTTTTCCTCCTCCATTTCCCCATTATCTTCCATAGTTCTTCTTCCTCTCCTTGTTATCCAAAACTCTCAAGCTCCAAACTTAAAAGAGAGAAACTGATATAGAGGGACAGGGACAGGGAGAGAGAGAGAGAGAGAGAGAGAGAGAGAGAGAGAGAGAGAAAGCACGCTTTCCTCCATATCTTCTTCTTCTGCATAATTATTATCTTAATTATGGTTTTCTACATGCATGGTTATTAATTGGTGCAGCAAGCTCCTTGTTTTCAACACTTGGAAAAAAAAAAGTCTTCCACGTCTTTTCAAATTCTTGGTAAATGTTCGAAGTCCTACAAACGTTCCAAGTTTTCAGTATTTTCTTTAATTATATATTTTTCACTTAATCTTCAATTCAGCTATATATTTTTTGTGCTAACCTTTATGAGTTTATGGATTACTGATTTGTGGTTAGTATTGCCTTATGCATTAATTAAACCTTATCCTAGTTTTTTTCAATCTTAATAACACTGGTCTAGTGAATTAAGCTTACATATATATATGTTTGGGAGGGTAATTAAGCAAATTCAAGTTTAAGCTCCTTCATTCAAGAACAAGCTTACATCACTTATAAAGTTTTTTCATCTTATTTTATTTTATTTTTTGTGGAATATGTATTTTCATTTTCTGTTTATCTATATTTACATCACTTAAAAAGTTTTTGCATCTTAATTGTTTTGGATATTACTTTGAAGGTGAACCTTTCTTAGTTTGAAGCTGGAGAAAACAAACAAGCCCTTGTCAAATTGGTAACTTGTCAGAGGTTAGTCAGTGTTTATTGATACCGTTGTAGGCTCTTTCTGTATTTTTTGTCATATCTTACCGCATAAGTTTAGGTGTTATGTTATGCTGACATTTAATTTGCTAATTAATTTTTGTTATGTCTGCTGTTAATTTCTTCGCTGGTGACCTGCCACCTGATATCACTTTGTTTTGTTTGCATCTTGATCCATTGTCTTCCTTTTGAAGTTTCGATTAAACGGCTCTCTTAACAGATTTTCCGAAAAGCTTCAACACAAAAGATTGAAAGAGAGAGAGAGAGAGGGCAAATGGAAAAAGAACAGAAGAAAGAGGTCTCCAGTTGATTTTTTGCATCCTTTTTCACATAGGGCTCCTCCTTTTTGTGTACTGATTTTTGGTATGCATAATCTGATTTATGTTTATTGACTGTACGAAAGATAACCAAAACTTCACTTGCAGGAATCGATCAGGTGACCAAGATGATACTGATTGTGAGGGGAGCAAAGCAAGGAGAAAAAGTTTGTACTTATATCATTTTATGGTTTTCAAATACCAGTAGTTTTACATGTTGAGATTGCAAACATATGAATATCTTTCTACTTTCATGTGCTCCATTTTCTACCTTCCATGAACTTTTCTTGAACAAGTTGTAATCACAACGATGATCCTCTAGGGATTTTAATGAACATGTAGTCATTGTATATGCAATTTGTAACATATTTAGGAAACTGTGTAAACAAAATACAATTAATTAGGACAATATTTGTGTAAGAATAATATCTGGGCACTCACTAAACTCACTCACCTTTTTGATTTTGTCTAATGATATTTAAATTTTTAGCACATATTTTATTGTTTTAAAAAATAATAGACATGTTATTAAATTTTTCTTGAACTTTGAAAAAAAAGGAACACATCACATTTTTTCATTGGACAAAATTAAAAAGTGAGCACTTAGAATACTCAATAGAAAGTGGTCTTTTACCACAGTTGTGGAAATGTGTTAATTCTTTACATGATAACGTGAGTTCAAACTCTGTCGGTGACTAATCTAACAACATCTATCATTAACCATCAATTACATAAACAAGAATTACAAGACAGAGGTCTGATATCTAATTCCCCTCTCCTCACATTGCCAGCCTCCCCTCCCCCACCCCACCCCCCCTCACTCTACTCCTGAAATAAAGTATTGAATGGGAAGGACCTTGCTTTTCAAAATCAGACTCGACCAAAACCGGTTTGGAGGTGGGCTTTCCCTATTTCAAGGTTTCGGTCTTGTTGGCTTAAAAATTCAAACGCTTTAGATGGTTTTATATTCAATTGCACCCGAAATTTTCACTCTGACATCACAAACTAATAATGCACCAGTAAATGCGTCACCTAGATGCTACATTGATGTGTCGGGTGTTGGTTAGTCCTTGTTAAGATTAAATTGCTTTGGATGCTCTGCTGGTCAAAGATGAAATCAGTGGATGGAGGAACAAAGTTAAATTTGTAAATAAAGCGTGCAAAGCCGGGAAGGAGGGCCTATTGGCTACTGTGTGCTTGCCGCTACGATTATCAAATATTTTTGGCTTTTTATTCAAAATGGTCCACAAGATTTGCATTATCCATAAGTTTGGTCCCTGAGATTTAAAATCAATAGAAGTGGTCCCTGAGATTGTCCACCATCCATGATTTTGGTCCTTCCACTGAAGCTTTTGGCCGGAAGTTTGGGCAATTTTCAAAGCTTCGTAACTCAATCGTTTCTTAACCAAATTTGACCCGTAATATATCAAAATGAAGATAGGAAAGTATAGAATAAGATTATATCATTTGTAAGCCCAACAGTTGCCGAAGATGGTCGGAATATAGCCTCAAAATTGACTGGTCAGAGAGAAAACTGAAAAACTTGCCGGAAACTGGGTAAACTTTAAACATTCACAACTTCTTCAATACTCAACGAAATTAAGTAATTCAAAAACAAAAATCATACTTCTTGATGAGAAGAAGAGAATGGTACATTTTTCAATGGCTAAATTGCCGTGGTTTGGCCGAAAATGGCTCGAAAGTTGCTGACTCGTTTTTCAACAGCCACTTTCGAGCCATTTTCCGGCCAAACCACGGCGAGTTAGCCTTTGAAAAAGGTACCATTCTCTTATTCTCGTTGAGAAGTATGATTTTTGTTTTTGAATCACATGATTTTGATGAGTATTGAAGAAGTTATGAACGTTTAAAATTTACCCAGTTTTCGGCGAGTTTCCGGCAAGTTTTCTAGTTTTCCCTCAGACCAGTCAACTTTTAGGCTATTTTCTGACCATCTCCGGCAATTATTGCTCTTCCAAATAGATATAATCTTATTCTACACTTTCCTATCTTCATTTTGATATATTATGGGTCGAATTTGGTTAAGAAACGATTGAGTTACGAAGATTTGAAAATTGCCCAAACTTCCGGCCAAAAGCTTCAGCAGAATGACCAAAATCATGGATGGTAGACAATCTCAGGGCTACTTCTATTGATTTTAAATCTTAGAAACCAAACTTATGGATGATGCAAATCTCATGGACCATTTTGAATAAAAGCCAATAATTTTTAACCACCATTATCAAATATTTTTTTTTAACTATGTAGAAGTGACTAATCCTTGTCTCTACCTGGAGCATTTATAACTAAGGACTACAATCTCAATTTCAATTTTTCTATAATAAACTCTGATTTAGTCTCAGGTGCAATTGTAGTCTCAGCTGCAGATTATTAACATTTTCTTTTGCGGTTGATTCTGTTGTAGCTGGTTCTACTACTGTTGTTGATGAGGATGCTGATATCCCCCCACGACTAGAAAAGTATGATGTGTTTATCAGCTTCAGAGGTGAGGACACCCGCCTTGGTATTACCAGCCATCTTCATGCTGCCTTACTTCAGAAGAAAATTGAAACCTACATCGATAATAGACTTCAGAGAGGCGAAGAAATCGGACCTGCCCTTCTAGAAGCAATCGAGAAATCCACGATTTCGGTGATCATTTTCTCACAAAACTATGCTTCATCCACATGGTGTTTGGATGAGCTTGTGCATATACTCAAATGCAAGGAAATATATGGCCACATGGTCGTACCGGTATTATACGACGTCAATCCATCTGATGTACGGAATCAATACGAGAGTTATGCGGATGCATTTGGACAACTTGAAAAACGTTTCGATAACAGTATTGACAAGGTGCACAAGTGGAGGGGTGCTTTGAAGACTGCAGCCAATCTATCTGGGTTTGATTATTCAAACAAATTCGGGTAACTAACTCATTCTTTAACTTGTCTAAAGTTATAAATTTTCTTTAAACTTGTCACAGTTTGATTTGTGCTAAGATTTGGTAAAGCATATTTAGGACTAACTATTGCTTTTTCTACATAATCATACATATATATGCCAGGACGGAGGCAGATCTAATTAGGAATGTTGTAGATCATATTTGGACCAAATTGATTTGTGAATCATCATGTGTTTTAGAGGGCCTGGTTGGAATTGAAAGTCACATCGAGCAAATTGAATCGCTATTAGGCATTCATTCACAGGATGCTTGCATCAGTGTTGGTATTTGGGGAATGGGTGGTATTGGCAAGACCACCCTTGCTGAAGCCGTATTTAACAAACTCTCTTCTAAATTCGAAGCTTGTTGTTTTCTAAGAAATGTTAGGGAGAAAGAACAAAAAGATGGGCTAGAACACTTACAAAATACACTTCTCAGTCAGATATCAAAGGAAGAAGATCTATCCATAGGATCAATTTTTGTTCGAGATAGGCTTAGCCGTACAAAGGTCCTCATTGTTCTTGATGATGTCAGTGATTCAATGCAAATTGAAGGTTTATCTGGCAATCGTCTTCCGTTTGGCAATGGAAGTAGAATCATCATCACAAGTAGAAATAGGGGCACACTTAGGCAAACTGTTGAAGAGGATAAAATCTATGAGGTTGGGAGATTAAAACCGGATGACGCTCTTCAGCTCTTTTGTTCGCGTGCTTTCAAGAATACTCATATAACAGATTATAAGGGGTTGGCAGAAAAGGCGATGCATTATGCCGGAGGCATTCCTTTAGCTCTTATACTTCTGGGGTCCTCATTCCTAAATTGCAAGAGCAAAGAAGACTTGGAAGATGAATTGGACAAATTGAAACAATTTCCCAATGAAAATATCCAGAGAGTGTTGAGACTAAGTTATGATGGATTGGGAAGAAATGAGAAGGAGATATTTTTGGATATAGCATGTTTTCATGAAGGGTATGATGTGGAGGAGGTAAAGCAATTGTTAGATGTTCGTGGATTCTTTGTGACGGTTGGAATTAGAATTCTCATTGACATGTCTCTCATATCAATTGATTCAAGATGGGGACGGGAAACCATCGAGATGCATGATCTACTTGAAGAAATGGGAAGGACAATTGTTCAGGAACAATGTATTGAAGATCCCAGTAAGTGGAGTAGGTTGTTCAACGATAAGGATGTTTATCATGTATTGAAAAGTAACACAGTAAGAGTCAAATGCACTCAATTTTTTTTCTTTTCTTTTTGTAGAGAAAACACATATGAGTCTCATCTTTATTAGAGATTAATAGAGATTGTACAATTGACGGTATAATTAGATGGTAAGAGTAGCATTTTTGCATTTATAATAAAAAAAGTCAGATTCTTAAAAAAAAAAAATTAATTTGATTGAATTTTTATTGTGTTCGGAAGTCTTTGGAATAGGAACAAATGTTTGTTTTTTAAGACAAGTAGAGGAGGATACAATTATGTTGGATATTTTACTAGAAACTTGTACATCATTACCATCGCAAATACTAAATTATTATGTAACGTTGTAGAATTCTTTTTCCAAGTGCGCATTACATTTTAACATGTTGAAAACATGTACATATATTCACATTTAAACTTTCTTCTTATTGTCAGGAAATATTGAAGCCATATTCCTTAATTGGCATAACATTGTAGAGCGACCATTGAAACGTGTAGACTTCAAGGTGATGTCTAACCTAAGATTGCTAATTGTGAATGGTGGCTCCAAATTCCACGCTTCTCTAGACCTTCCCGATGCTCTTCGTTATCTTTACTGGGATGAATATCCACTGGAATCTTTACCGTCAAAATTTTCTCCGAAAAATCTAGTTGAGCTTCATATGCCATTTAGCCTAGTTCAGAAGCTTTGGAAAAAAGACAAGGTATATTATATTATATGCCTATTTTAATTCTTGTATAAAATCAAGTGTAGAAGTTATATTAACTCCTATTTACTCTTGATACAAAGACTTGTGAACTTACAAGTGATCGATCTGCATTACTCCAGATATCTAACTGAAGTTCCAAATCTCTCTCGAAGTCTAAAAATTGTGAAAATAAATCTCTGTGGCTGTGAAATTTTGGTTGAAATTCCTGAGTGTTTTCAACATCTTGACAAGCTTACTCATCTTGATCTTAAAGGCTGCACCAACCTCAAGTATCTTCCAGAGATGCTAGGAAATATTAAATACTTGGATTTACATTACGCTGGTATAAAAGAATTGCCTGAATCAGTGTGGTCTAACAAAAACATTTCTTACTTGAATATACGTTTTTGCTCTTTACCTTGAGAAACTTCCAAGCAACAGTTGTAAGTTGAAAGTCTCTGGTTGTTTTGATCGATATGGTTGCATATCTCTTTGCGAGTTTTCTGAGCTTCCGAGGGATACAACTAAATTATCATTGGTTCGTTGCAGCAGTCTTGTGAGTCTACCAATCTACATTTGGAAGTTGAAATATCTCAAGGAACTCAATCTCTTTGGGTGCTCTGAACTTGAACATTTCCCAGAGATCTTGGAGCCAATAGAACATTTGGTGTCTCTTAATTTGCAAAGGACAGCTGTACAAAAGCTTCCTTCGTCATTTGGAAATCTAATTGGGCTTCAAACTTTAGACCTTAGTGACTGCAAGCACCTTAAGGTAGTCCCAACAAGTATCTACCGTTTAACCAATCTTAAACGTCTCGACTTGTATGGATGTCGGGAACTTGAAAATTTGCCTTTCACCTATGCCGGTTTTCTCTCTTTAGAAGAACTAGATCTCAGCAGCAGCGGTATGTTGGAAATCCCTGATGGTCTCGTTTGCTCAACCTCATTGACAAGCATACATCTGTCTGGAACCAAGATCAGGAGCATACCTGCAAGCATCAAATGAGCTTCTCGGTTGTCTGAACTCAACTTAGTCGGCTGCAAGCAACTTCAATCTTTGCCAGAGCTCCCAGTGCTATGTCATGTTTGAGCTCAAGGCTGCACAGCGCTGAAGACACAGGCAAGTTCAAGGACAGCACTCACTTGTCCGTCCAAGAAATAAGACTGACAAACAGGCAAGGCTCTTATATAGACAAGTGTGTAATATTATGTTTGTTATCTTTGATCAAATCCAGCGGCATCATGAATGGCCCAATTGGACTAACACCGGCAAAACAGTGTTCTTGTTTGAACAAAAGAAAGATCAGCAGAACAAATTTTATTATGGGGGTAAAATATTACAGCAAATTAAGGTCGAAAAAAGAAAGGCACAGCCCCAGTTTGATAATACAATCATCAAATTTGTAACAGCGATAAAACTATAGGGGTCTTCGCTTCAATAGGACTAGGAACATTCCGAAATTACGGAGAAAAATTATAAGCTAAAGGAAAAAAAAAGGATGAAGACAAAGCGAGATGCATACACAAAGAAATGAAATACAAAAGACACATTACAAGCACAGTGATTTCAAAGCATAAAACATGGCCACGGCCCATAACACTCACGATAGAAAGGCTTGGAACAACGAGAATAGCAGACAGAAAAACGAAGAAGAGCAACTACCTGGCTAAAATGCACTCCAATGATCAGTCTTTTCTCGGAGTCTCCAATGACGTCCGGAAAGGCCCTGAAGACCCAAATGGGTCCGAGTCTCTTCTTGGAGTTTGACCGTTGAATGATGTCCTAAATGGAGAGGATCCAAATGCGTCCGAGTCTCCTCTTGAAGTTTGACTGTCAATGATGTCCTACATGGCGCTGCTGAAGACCTGAAAAAATCTGATTCTCTTCTTGGAGTTCGACTGTCCAGTGACGTCCGAAATGGACCTGAAGATCCGAAGGGGTCTGAGTCTCTTCTTGGAGTTTGACTGTCCAGCAATGACCTAAATGGCGCCGAAGAGCCAAAAGGGTCTGGGATGTCATCAAATGTTGGAAAACCATTACCCTGATCAAAATCTCGACTGCTGCGCATAGAATCAAATCTTCCGAGTGTTTCTGGTTGAGGGAAAAATCCAGTATCTTGTGTGCTTGTGAACTAATCAAACCTAGAGAAGGTGTCAAATGAAGGTTCTGAGCTATCCTTGTACCTTGGCGGTGAATACCCCAAATTGAAGGATGAGAGTGGTGTGCTAGGAACAGAAACGTCGAAAGTAAAAGGGTAGCTCTTCTGGGAAAAGCCACCTCCTTGTGATGACCCAGTCCTGATAGGGTTGAGGCCGAACTCCCCAGGGCCAGAAAAGTAGTGATCCTTATTACTCTCCTGATCCATATCCTACATCCCACATGATTAAGAGCAATTAACAGCAAAATCCTGCATGCCAGCAATAATAAAAAATATAAAACCGCAAAAACTAAAAGCTTGAAAGTGCTACGTAACCGACATGCTATTATAAAAGAAAGTGGATTCACTGGAACCTAGAATCCATGCCTACTTGGAAGGTGCAAAATAATGGAAACTTTCCATCGGCTACAAACTGTTAACAGTAACTGTTTCTAACATGACAATGAATGCTAGTTTTTTAACTTGAAATTTAACTTTCCTTTTTCCAGTCACCATTCTTTAACAATGATTAATACATTAATACATTAATGGCACCATCTCTTGTCAATGTCAAGTTGTCAACACAAAAATGATCTTGACTAAGATTAACCAAGACCTAAGGCTTAAATCAGAGTCCCCTTCAATGTGCAATTAATTGCACCAAGAACAATCCCGCAACCCCTTCTTTTTATATCCGGTGAACCAAAACTGAAATCAGGAAACTCGGTTTCGCCATACTTGGTTGAAAGACAGGAAACTCGGAAACTCGGTTTCGCCATACAGTGAACCATAACTGATTTACATGAAACCATCAGAATGGTGAAGATAGAAACTATTCAAATAATGTTAAAATTCCCAGAACCATCGTTAATAACTAAACAACTCAGCAAGCATTAGGACACTTGAGGCAACTCTTAAACAAGGATAAGTGGTCACCACCACAAACAACTAGGTGGTATTAACAGCAATCATGAAGCAAGGTCCGGTCAGTATAAACACAAGGTCAAAGAATTGAGTTCTAATAAATAAATACTGAATGCACTCTAAAATAAATAAATAAAATTTTTGAATGTACAATATTGGCTTACCTTGGTGGTACTAACTGCATTGAAACCCCACAACGAGTCAACGTCATCATTAGTGTCAAATGTCCCCCATGCTGGTTCATCAGAACCTTTGTCGCCAGAAAACATAGACCCAGCACCCGCATGATCAACAATTTTGCACGTATCAGGGTGACCTTAAATATGTAGAAAACTACAGATCTAGAACCATACCTTTGAGATTCCTTATTACGGGGTGAGGGATCTGCGTCTGTTGTCTTTCCATAGTTAGAATCTGAAAATTCTCTAGATGGGCTTCCAACGGTACTGCTGGCAAATGGACTGTTCGGAGCACTTTTTGCTGACTCATCCTCATTTTTATCATATGCTGCTCCATTTTCAACAACCTTGGCATCCGTACTTTGAGGCTAGTGAAGAAGCAGTTGTTGGACTCTCAACTGGGGGAGCTTTTTCTTTCTGAACTGATGATTATTTCTGTTTTGGAGGTGCCAAGACATTTGACACGTCAAGAGTGAGCTCCTTGACAAAAGTGAATCCTGACAATTCAACTTCTGAATCAGTCACCTCGAACAGTTAAAACTCCTAAACAGGTTAGCAAACCACAACTAGATGACAAAGAAACTACAAAAAGCAGACAATATGATCCATTTACCACAACATTGTGTTCTATGTACAATCCATCAGATATTTTGATAAAGAATAAGCTAATAGAAGTATTCTTATCGTTATTTATAAGATTCTTAGACTCCCAAGAAATTAGCTAAGGAAAGAGATCAACGTACAAAAGGGCAGCTCAGTTAACGTTGTAGGCTTTCTGCGTAGTTCATACTTCTTGCAGTGCTCATTGAGAGTTTTGACAAGCCCATCAAGATCTAATTGGATGTGATCAACACGATCTTGAATCAGCTGGAAATGGTCTTAAACAAGTTGAGCAAAGGTATTTTTTAAACAGCAAGATTGTGCAAAGGTACCTGAAGTGCGCATCAGCATCACCTTCTTGCTCCATCACTGCCCTGTGTAGCTCCATTTTTTTCTCCTGCATATAAATCACGTAAGATAATCAGTCCACGATAATAAAAAGAATACACCACAAGGGTATGACCATTCAACTGATTCTATTTTCCCACACTACTTTCTCTCTCTCATCAGCTATCTATCCCACCAGGCTTAAAAGTTCTAAAATAAATTTCTTTTTGTTTCTCCAAAAAGTAAAAATGTCCTGCTCATACTTGATTTTTTAATTTTGATTGGCACTTATCTCATAAAAAAATAAAAGCACGCGGTATTGAAGTATAAATGTATTTGCTGTGGTAGTTTCATTATAAACAAAGTGTAGGATCTAATGTAAACCTTTGGATCATATTCCAATTGGTATTTAGATTAGATTGGATTAGAATGAGTCATAGCTCATGACATGTGCAAGCATCTTATATGATGACTTTGAAATGAATGGTTGTGATGGATTTGTAATGTTGTGAGAGGGTGAAATTGTTTCTCACTCCTCCAACGTTAAAACATGCTCTTTGAGCTCTTTGTTTGGTGAACAAGTCGAATACACTGAAACCTTTGAAGAAAGCTCTGCTCTCTGTGTGTGCATTTTACTGTTCCATTGAATCTACCCGAAATCAAACTCTAATATGGCCTCAGAGCCAGGTTGGATCTCAATCTGGGCGTGAATCTGTGACAAGGGTTGCAGCTAAGGAACTCGACAGAGAATCGAGTTTGCTGCGATTGAAGATCAATCTGAAAAATCACTGGGTAACTCGATAACAAGTCTAATATGGCTGGATCGAGTGGTGCTGATCTTCGAGCACCGATTTTCAATGGGGAAAACTTTGATTTCTGGCAGATAAAGATGAAGACTATTTTCAGATTTCACGATCTGTGTGGGATATGGTTGAAACGGGGTATAAACCTCCGGTGAAGAAAGAAGATGAAGAACTCAATGCCGCTGAACTAAAGCAGCTAAAGGGAGAACATGATCAAGGATGCTAAGGCTCTCGGGATTATTCAAGGTTCTGTGTCCGATGAAATTTTCCCACGAATCGCCATACTGGAGACGGCAAAGGAGGCTTGGGATGCACTGAAGCAAGAATTTATTGGGGATAAACAGGTGAGATCTGTGAAACTCCAAAGTTTAAGGCGAGATTTTGAATACACTCGTATGGGTGAAAATGAAGCATTCTCTGTGTATGTTGTGCGATTATTTGATCTTATGTCACAAATGAAAAGTTATGGTGAAGATATAGGAAATCAAAGAATTGTGCAGAAGCTATTGATAAGTTTGCCTAAGTCTTATGATAGTATTGTTGCTGTGATAGAAAACACTAGGGATCTGGAGAGTGTTGATGTGCAGGATGTTGTTGCTACCCTAAAGGGGTATGAACAACGAATTGATAGACATTCTGAAGATAGAAATGAAAAGGCATTTGCTAGTTTAAGTATAGCTCCCAGGAAGAACAATTACAATGGCAATCAGAGTTTTAAACCCACAAAGAACTGGCAGACAAAGAGTAAGAAATGGGATAACAAATCTGTGCACCATCAAGGAAAATTTACTGGGTCTTCTGATAATGTCAAGAATGCATGTAAGTACTGTGATAAACTTCATTTTGGAGAGTGTTGGTTCAAGGGAAAACCAAGGTGCCATAACTATGATAAGCCAGGGCATTTTGTTAAGGATTGCAGGTCAAAGAAGGTTACTCAATAGGCAAATTATGTCAAACAAGTGGAGAACAATCCAACTATGTTCTATGTGTGTATGGCTGCTGCAGTGAAGAAGGGAGAAGATGTTTGGTATGTTGATAGTGGCTGCAGTAATCACATGACAGGAAGAGAAGATTTACTGGAGAACATTGATAGAAGTGTTACTGCCAAAGTTGAGATGGGCACAGGGGAGTTGGTTAATGTAGTTGGAAAAGGAGAGTTAATGGTTGCAACTAAGCAAGGCAAACGGTACATCAAGGAGATCATGTTAGTACCTGGTTTAAAGGAGAATCTATTGAGTGTGGGACAAATGATGGAGCATGGATATTACCTTGTGTTTGGGGGAATTGAAGTCAGAATTTATGAAGATTTTACATGCTCTAATCTGGTTGTTAAAATTCCTATGAAGGGAAATCGAAGCTTTCCTTTGAAGTTGCAACCAGGAATACAAATGGCTATGAGGGCAGGTGTTAAACAAGCTGCTGAGATATGGCATAGAAGACTCGGGCATCTAAATATGAAGGCTCTCATGCAACTTCAAGAGCATGACATGGTGACTGGTTTACCTGAGCTCAGAGTGAATTCCACAGTATGTGAGGGATGTGCTATTGGAAAGCATTCTAGAGATGCTTTTCCTAAAGAAACAAACTGGAGAGCTGCACTACCATTGGAGTTAATACATACTGATATATGTGGACCAATGCAAACACTTACCAAAGCTGGAAACAAGTATTTCATCACTTTCACAGATGATTGTACCAGAATGGGATGGGTCTATTTTCTGAGAAACAAATCTGATGCATTTGGCATATTTAAGAGGTTCAAGGCAACTGTTGAACTACAAAGTGGATTCAAAGTGAAGAAATTAAGGAGTGACAGGGGAGGGGAGTATACTTCTCTGGAATTCTCTCTCAATATTGTGAAAATCTTGGTCTAGAAAGACAACTTACAGTGGCCTATTCTCCTCAACAGAATGGTGTTGCTGAGAGAAGAAATAGGACCATTGTAGAAATGGCTAAATGCATGATGTTGGAGAAAGGGATTCCATTTGAATTTTGGGCAGAAGCAGTGAATACTGCAGTCTACATTCTCAATAGATGTCCTACCAAGGTCTTGAATAAGAAGACTCCATTTGAAGCTTACAGTGGAAGAAAGCCTGGAGTAAAACATTTAAAAGTGTTTGGATCTTTATGTTATGCACAGGTTCCATCACAAATGAGGCAGAAACTGGATGCAACAAGTGTAATGTGCATATTCCTTGGCTATGGAACGTGTGAAAAGGGTTACAGGTTGTTCAATCCTAAAACTAACAAGATTGTTATTTCTAGAGATGTAATATTTGATGAGAACTCTTGTTGGGATTGGAAATCTGGTAATAAGAAGACTATGTCCATCTCAGTTCCAAGTGATGTTGATGGAAGCAAAGAGAATGAGACTGAAGCTGTTGAAGATGATGCAATATTTGAATGCACAGAATCACTACAGGAACAACATGAAGCAAGTTATTGCTTCTTCTTCAAGACAAGAAGAGCAAATAGATCATACCAGCTCACAAATGTATGATCATACTCCATTAAGGTTCAGAGGCTTGAATGAAATTTATGAAAGGTGCAATTTCTGTGTGATAGAACCTGAATGTTTTGAAGAAGCATCAGGGGATGAGGCTTGGAGAAAAGCTATGTCCACAGAGATTGAGAGATGATCGAAAAAGAATGATACATGGGAGTTGGTCAAAAGACCATTTGATAAACCTGTAATTGGTGTAAAATGGGTTTACAAAACAAAACTCAATCTGGATGGTTCAGTACAGAAGAACAAGGCACGGCTAGTGGCTAAGGGTTTATTCTCAAAAGCCCGGAGTGGACTTCAACGAGACCTTTGCACCTGTGGCAAGGCTTGATACCATTAGAACTCTCATTGCTTTGGCAGCTCAAAAGGAATGGAAGTTGTTTCAATTGGATGTTAAATCTGCATTCCTAAATGGTACACTGCATGAGGAAGTATATGTGGATCAACCACAGGGATTTGAAGTTCAAGGACAGGAAGATAAGGTCTACAAGTTGAAAAAGGCTTTATACGGTCTGAAACAAGCTCCTAGAGCTTGGTATGATGAGATAGACAATTATTTCAATCGATCTGGTTTTGAGAAAAGCCAAAGTGAAGCTACTCTATATACAAAGTTCAGTGATGCAGGTGTGCTTATTGTATCTCTGTATGTAGATGACATTATCTACACAGGGAATTCTGATGAAATGATTCAAGAATTTAAGAAGGATATGATGAAGCAATATGAGATGTCAGATCTGGGATTGTTACATCACTTCCTTGGTCTAGGCATAGTTCAAACAGATAAGAGTATATTTATTCATCAGAAGAAATATGCCAAGTCACTACTTGAGAAATTTGGATTGAAAGAATGCAAAGCAGTAAAAACACCACTTGCAGTTGATGACAAGTTATCTAAGGAAGATGGAAGTGAGGATGCTGATGAAAGTTTGTACAGGACAGTGGTTGGTAGTTTGTTATACTTGACAGCTACTAGACCTGATCTAATGTATGCATCATGTTTGCTAGCAAGGTTCATGCACAAACCTACTAGAAAACACATGGGGACAGCTAAAAGAGTCTTAAGATATGTGCAAGGTACATTGGATTTTGGAATCGAATATGTGAAAGGAAAAGCTGCTGTGTTGATAGGGCTACTGTGATAGTGATTGGGCAGGAAGCTTGGATGACATGAAGAGCACCTCAGGCTATGCATTCAGTTTAGGTTCAGGAGTGTTTTCTTGGGCTTCTGTTAAACAATGCAGTGTGGCTTTATCTACTGCAGAGAGGCCGAGTATGTAAGTGCTGCAGAAGCTACAACACAAGCAATGTGGTTGAGGTTTGTTTTATCTGATTTTGGAGAAGAACAAGTGGAGGCTACACCTTTGTTTGTGTGACAACACTTCTGCCATAGCCATGTCTAAGAATAAGAATCCAGTGTTTCATCATAAAACCAGGCATATTAATCGGAGGTATCATTTCATAAGAGATGCCATTCAAGACGGGACAATTGAACTGCATTATTGCAGCACAGAGGAGCAATTGGCAGACATCTTTACCAAGGCTCTTCCTAAGGATCGATTCGAATACTTGAGAACTGCTCTTGGTGTGAAATCAGCAAAACATTTAGAAGGGAGTATTGAAGTATAAATGTATTTGCTGTGGTAGTTTCATTATAAACAAAGTGTAGGATCTAATGTAAACCTTTGGATCATATTCCAATTGGTATTTAGATTAGATTGGATTAGAATGAGTCATAGCTCATGACATGTGCAAGCATCTTAT